TAGATTTTCTGCCTACCAACGGGAATAATGAACTCATTATTTACTTTGTCAGGCATCAGTGATTGGCCGATTTCAATATTCACTGTGTTTTGAGCCCATCGGGTTTCTAATTGGAAGAAGGCGAATATAATAATATTTAAAATTGGTAAAAAGTGATGTTGACCATCAGATATTTTTATTTATTAATTTTTGAATATCATTTAATTATCTACTTATTGGAGTAGATGTACATAGTATATTATACACAGTATGTCCACGGATGGAGGAAAAATGGAATTTTCATTTTTCGACCAAAATTCATTCTTTATAAAAAGTTTTGCTTGTCTATTGCCATACATTAAATACTATCAAGAGAAAACTACTTTTATTTTTCGTTTTTGAGCAAAGTGACATATATATAAAAGATTTCAAATCTTATCCAAAGACTTTCAACTCAGTATTCCAATTTTTTTTTTAAATTCAATTTGTACATTTTAAAATTTATAACTAAGATTGCGTCAATGTGACATTTTTTTGTCATTCATAGGTAAAGAATAGGTATGTGAAATGAGCTACAAAAGTATTAATTAAAAATTGAATTTTAAAACTGGAAAAATTGGAATACTGAGTAAAAATTTTACCATTAGTCTTTGGATAGGATTTAATAGTTTATTATGTATCAAGTTTGATAAACGCCATTTTATACACGAATTTAATTTAGGCACGAGCGAGCTTGCGAGCGAGTGCTTAAAATAATGAGTGTAAAGAAAAGTTTATAAACGAGGTGCATTCTATACTTTTTCTACAACAAATATTTATTATTATCTTTAAATGATTTAAATCAAAAAATTGCCATCTATGAAACAATATGGGAATCTGTGTGTCACCGTCAAATGTCACATTTTTACTTTTTATAAACACAGATTATAAAGGTTATAACTCGAAATGTATTTCTTAAAAATTGTCAGTTTTTCACAGTGAAAGTAAAGAAAATGTTTTATGAGGACTTTACAGTAGAGTCCATGCCCGAATTTAAGTTTTAGTTTATTGCCTGCGAAATTAAAAGGTCAGTACATTGTACTGAGTACAATGTTCATATAAACTTTTCAAATATTGGCGTTGAGAAACTATTTAATACTTTTGTATTTTTGTATTGAGATAATAAAATAATTTTCATATTTAGTATTATTTTACAAGAAAGGCACTTTATTTTAACGATTGTATGACATTTGACAACTGTCAACTAACTTAAAACTAAAACGAAAAATTAAGGTAGTTTACTCTTGATAGAATTTCATGTTTACTTCTTTTTCGACCCTGTATAATATTTTAAAATTTAAAGTAACTATGGCAATCGAATTTTTAAAACAAGAAGAATTTTTTATGAAGAATGACTTTTGGTCTAAAAATGATTTATTGAATTTGTCCTCTTGTAAAAAATTTTAACACATTAGACGTTTGCAAAATAAATTTTAAGTATAAAATAAACTTGGACATACGTTTTCAAGGCATATCTGACTTAACTTTCTTGCAATATTTTTTGTAACCTTTCCTAAAACGTATACCCTTAGTTAGTTATTTAGTTGTTTCATACACTTAAAATGTAACTCGTGAAGAGCTAAACAAATAGAAAAAAATCCCAAAAACATAATGTTCTTTTAATCTCAACAAATACAAAGCATTACGCGTTCTGCTAACGCATCATAGGAAGTCCAGGACACCTGGAAACCCTGCTTCTAAATTTTGTTTGCTTGAATAAACGTTATCTTATCGGGAATTTTTCTGGCGTTTAGGGGATTTAGTCATTGTCTGTTGATCCCGCACATTTCCTCATTAGGATCTCGCGTGCTAAAACGTAGTCATGCCGGTTTGCGAACCGTATAATGAAGGCATCTTCTCCGCGATCCATTAGCCATCGAGTAGAAATCGATACTGAACTGCAATCGATTCGCCGCTGCGATGATATAACTTTGCAGTATTAGTTTTCCTGAGACGTTGCAGCAGTATTAAGTTTTAATTGCGGCACCTTTAAAATATACAGCAAGCGTTGGCGATGATGAGGATTAAGCCTTTTACGTATTTATTACTTTATACTGGCGATAAACCGAGAGCAATATAAGTCATAATTACTCGTAATAAGAAAGTTTGGATGCGAATGTGTTAGTTAGAATGTAGAGGGGAAGAAAAATAGGCCCCTTTCAATAAATCACGGCAATAAAAAGTAAATGCCGTCGGCCCCACCCTTTCCGGGCTCCAAAGAGATACATTACACGGGCACTAATAATGGAAGCAATAGAAATCTGCTATTGACAAGTAATTAAACGTTTTATTGGAAATACTGGCTTCGGCGGCAATTCAATTCAACGACAACCGACTATAAACAAAACTAATAACCGTTAAGCTTGGCCCCAACATGGACCCAGTGCCGGCGCAACAATATAATTTGCATGGGCGCACACATTTCTATAAGCCTTATAGAAATGTGTAGTTTAAGGATATCATCTTACGAGGTGCGTCTATTAAATAACGAGAGTAATGCTACTACAGACAAACTACGGGTCTGTCAAAGTAGTATGATGTTAATTTTCTTTTATAAAATTTTAACATAATTTTTTTATAAAACCAGGGTTTGTAATTGAGTCGGTAAGATTAAGAACAGTACGAGTCCAAAAGTTAAAATTTTGACAAAATATTTCAAAAAATCAGTTTTATAGTTCTAAATGCATTTTTGTGAGAATATCTTAACTATTTTATAAAATATAATATTCATATTCTGTAAAATGATTTATTTCTTCTCACAAAAATATATTTTGAACTTTAAAATTGATTTTAGAAAATGACTGGTCAAAATAAAAATTTTTGACTTGTACTGTTCTTATTCTCACCTATTCAATTATTTTAACAACGGAAAATATTTTACCGAAAGTTTTATAAAGGTAATATGCAATTTAGTAAGAATTTTGTTAATTTCAAAGGTTTCAGATTATTTTGTTAATGTTTAAAGCCGGGTCCAGACTAAGTAACATTGTCGCGTCTACACTTAGTTTAGTCAAGATGGATGCAGAATACCAACTACTTGCAGCAGCGCCGTGTGTAATTTTGCTTGCCAAGACTAAGAAGAAACCGAAGAAAAAGCGGTTCTGGGTACACTACACTGTTCAAAATTTCATGACCAGTTTAACACCAAATTAACACCATACATGGTCTATATCGATACAAACCAAAATGGTGTTAAATATGGTTCGTTGGTCCAGTGTAAATTCAAATACTAAAATAGTGTAAATTTAACTTTCACACAGTATTAAAATAAATTTTAGCTGGTGTAAATTCAACCCCTTTTCAGTGTTAAATATTATGTGTTTTTGGTCAAATTAAATCATACTACACAGAAACAAGGAAAAGAAAAGGAAACAGGAAGTTCCTTGACGCATTACCAGTATATTACCAGAGGTATTATTCCAGAAAATTGAACCTTCAACTCGCTAGAGAGATAATGTTTTTAGTGCGTTCCACCAACTTAAAATACTTCAAGTATTGACAGCTGTTTACACCTATTTAAGGTCTCTTTAGTATCGAACAACTTGTAGTGTCACACCAAAGCAAAGGGCTACCTGAGCTTATATATTCTTCATGTAAATCAACAGAGGCGAGATTTAAGAACATCACGTGATCCACACCGCCTTTCTCGCGATCGTACACACTATGCAACCAGGAATGCACGGCAAATTGTTTTAATCGTTTTAACAGAGTGCTTTAGGTTGAAGTAACTCTTATTTTACAAACATCATATTTAGTAAACTGAACCATACAGCGGGTTGGTTTCACTAAAGGTTTCTGGATTAATTTGACCAATTAAAAAAAATAACTATCTGGTTTAGTACCGTAAAACTAATCTTTGTTTATATTTATCTTCCCACAGTTGATTTAAATAAATACTTTTGGGTCAACTAAATTAATATAGTTTAATTAAACTATTCCTTTTTTTCTGTGTAGGTGCACTTCTCAAATATTTTTAGATAAACACCGTTTTGGTGTTTGCTGTAAGTATATAACATTTTTAACCATAATTCATAGTGTTTATATTAACACCACTTGGTGTTGGATTTTGACACCATTTTAAGATTATTCTTTACAACACAGATATTTTAAACAGTGAACGGTCAAGAAATCAATATAGTGGGACTCATTTATTAGAAGATTTGAGAGACTTTTTTGGTCCCATCGATTACGAAATGACATACAAGGAAGCTGCAAAAACTTCTGTAGATTATCTAGTTCGGATTTCGACCAATTGCTAAGTTTAATTGGCCCTAAAATTCGCAAGAATGACACGAGATTGAGAGATGCAATACCCATTAATGAACGTCTGGCAGTAACTTTGCGATTTTTAGCAACTCGATATTCATACCAAAGCTTGATGTATTTATCAAAATTTTTAAGCATTCAATATCGCTAATTGTTCCTTCACCTCTTCACTCAAAGGAAATGTTATGTTATATATATAGCAAGTCTGGTCGCGTTTGAAATAGCAGTGCGATATAACTTCTTTTGATCTTTTTGGGCTTTACCGACTCGAGACGGATAACATCTAGCATGTTATATAGCAAGGAAATCTGCTAGATGTAGCTTAAATTTTAATAACATGTTATATAGCTTTGCCAGTAGGTCCTAAACCTTCCTAAATCAAACTCTGCTTTGAATTTCCAAATAAAGAAATCAACCCACCAAAAACAAAACTTTGACAGGTTGGCAAAATATACTCTGCAGCTCTCCCACAAAAATCTTCTTGATCTTGTCGGAATTATAACGGGTCACTGCAGACTCAACAAACACCTTCATGCATTGAAAAAGTGGACATTTCTCTTTGTAGACCCTCTAACTGGGAAGAAAGGGTGATGTATATTATTTATGGTTGTCCTGCTTTTCTCGAGTTTAGAAAGTCCAATTTAGGAGAAGAATGGGTTAAGACAATCTACATACATATTATATATCAGATTCTTAAATGGCTGGGGTACATAGAGATGAGCAAGAATAATCACAAATGCTATGGCTACCCTCTACCGGCCAAGTCCATCCATTCATCCACTGAAGCTTTAAATTCTATTGAAAATGACCCAAACTTTTTGGAAATGTGATAAATCTTGATTTTTACTATGATCCACAAACTAAGCATAAATCTTTGCATAGGAAAATTCCAACTTCACCGAAAGCTAAAAAAGAGGTAATGAGCAAATCTTCGATGTACCTGAAGTTCAAACTGTTAACCATCATGACTACCTTAAGGTTCTTGCTCAACTTTTATGTGAAAAAAAAATAGAAAAAAATTATACAAATTGTGGAAGTAATGGGTTCTTCATCAGGGCTGAAACTGCTTTGTCTATTAAGACGTTTTTTGCCGAGTGCAACATCCCAGTGTTGGACCATCCGCCTAATTTGCCTGATAAGGCACCATGTGACTTTTATCTGTTCCCCAAACTCAAATAGGTTATTAAAAAGATCAAGATTTGAGACCGTTGAATCTGTGAAAGAAATCGGCACGTGTCATGAACGAGTTCACAGAAGAAGAATAAACTATGGAAAATTCGCATGGATGTAGGGATAGGAAGAGGATAATAATTAAATGTGTATATATTTAAAATAAAAAGTTTTACAGTCTCGTTATTTACACCTCGTATAGCATAATAATCATAATTTGGATAGCGTTTATCGAAAAGGAACCAAGCGCCAAAAACTTCTTCTGGGGTAAACAAAATTATTTGCAAAATAACTAATTTTTAATGCTGCTCAAAAAAGAACTTATGGTAAGCAAAGTATTTTAAGGAAAATTTTGTATTTACAGTTTAATAGTAATTTAATATTTTGTATTAAACTTAACTTAACTTTTACTATTAATGGTTACCTAATGGATATTTAATATAAAGTTTTATTCTATAATATATAAGTCAAAATTGGTTGTATTAAAATATGGAATTTGGTAATTTAAAGATGAATTTTTTTCAAATGAGATATAAATGTAAATATTTGGAATGTATTAGATGAGAAGATATAATGGAAAGAAAGTTTCATTATGATAAATATAAGAAGGGTTAAGTGTAGCGAGTTTTATTATGTAATTTAAAACATGTATATATTAATGCCCAGACAAGCTATAAGCTTATTGGACTGTAATAATAATAATAATAATAAAATTTGATTTGATGAGAGTTTCTGACGGCCCGAGTATACATTTTTTCCAATATTTATTACCTAATATTTGTTTAAAATTACTATAGATTTTTTCGGGCCCAGCGTAAAACAAACAGGGAAGTTTGACATAACCGAAAGTGCAAACATCGGAAATGTGTTGTGCAAACAGGAACGCAGTGAAATTCAGTAGCCGAACGAAATTAGTAGGTAAACAAAATTGTTCTTCCAGCTAAGTGCAAATGTTGCCCCATCTTAGCTCCATATCCAGTTACTTGTAATATCTTTTGTGCACTTCAAATATCATACAGAGTGGTGGAATATCATTTCCAGCATGTGGAAATGACCTAAATCAAAGCTTGTATAGGAACAGTTGTGTTTATAGATAATATAAAATAAGACAAATGTATGTGTGCGATTTGCGTGTTTCTGTACGATAAATTATAAGTGAATCGGAGAATTTTAAGCCGTTTGGGATGCGACTTTTGTTTTTTCCAAAGGCGCACGCTTACTTGTAGGTCAATTGCTGGTTTTTAATGCGATATCTACCTACGCAATCCGAATAAATCAAGGGAGGGTTTCCTTTTGCGCCACTCATTATTCAAATTGTTATTGTTGGAAATTTAATGAAGACGTCGGAATAATACTGTAAATAAAAAGTTTTGCGGTATTTATATTTATTTTAAATTCATCATTCGGTTGTTAACATAAAAAAGCCATAACGCGAAAAACTAGCGTGTTTATTTGAATTAAAATGTGCGTTTTATTCAAAATGGACCCATAAATTTTCCTAAATACCAACTGCATTAAGTTGGTAATACTCGATTTTTGACGTATCGGTTAGGGTGGAAAAAGAAATCGTACATAAACCTCCTTTGTCATAAATTACTTGTGATGCCTGATTTTCCTAAAACATTATTGGAATTAAATTTCGACGGGTGTTTTCTTTTATAATTTCTGACATGACTTAGATGACGTCTACATTAAGTGAGAGCAACGACAAAAGACGGAACTTTAGACATATTGAACTCGTCACGGTTTAACTTTACTGTCAATCACGACGATAAAATTTAATAGCTTGGCTGTAAAACGAAATTACCGCGCCTATGAACTATTAAAGGGGAGAATTTACACGAAATTTGCGATATTGATTTCTTCAAGTTTTCCCGTAAAAAAGTTTTACTGGTAACTTAATGCTATGTTCGAGTTATGCGGAGCTTTTTATAATGGTTCACATTATTTATTGTTGTTTTACAACAATAAAGTTATTCCAGGTTTAAGGATTATTTTTGGTAATAAAAATCCTTAAACATGAAATTCTTAAAAAGCCTATTCCAAAAAGGACATCCAATGAACAAAAGTAACCATTATTAATAAGGGGTTACACTTCGCTTCTGAAGATGACAACATCGTTGGAGAAAAGTACTTAAAGCACTTTGAGTTTTGTTTTAGTGTTGGGAAATATTTATAATATTTGTTTAACATACCACCAAATTTGTCCTTTTTCAAGTATGAACACAGAAAAAAAGGTATGGTTCATTTAACTATATTAATTTAGTTGACCCAACTGTAAACAAAGATTAGTTTGACGGTACTAAACCACATAGTTATTTCATTTTTTAAATTGGTTAAATTAACCCCGAAAACTTCATTGAAACCAACCTGTTTGGTTCAGTTTACTAATTTTTTTTTAAATAAGTGTTAATCCAACCTTAAGCACTTTGTTAAAACGATTAAAACAATTTGCCGTGCATTCCTGGTTGCATAGTATGTACCGATCGCGGTTAAGGCGGTGTGGATCACGTGATCTCGCCTCTGTTGATTTACATAGAGATTATATAAGCTCAGGTAGTCTTTTGCTTAGGTGTAACACTACCAGTTGTTCGATACTAAAGAGACCTTAAATAGGTGAAACAGCTGTCAATACTTGAAGTATTTTAAGTTGGTGGAACGCACTAAAATCATTATCTCTAGCGAGGTGAAGGTTCAATTTTCTGGAATAATACCACTGGTATTATACTAGTAATGCGTCAAGGAACTTCCTGTTTCTTGAAGACTATAAGTAAATTAAATTAATAGCTTGAAAAAAAAATATTTCTACTCCAGATATTTCAAGATCTTATTTTTATTGTTGGGTATATAAATGCGCCAAACGCTATGGGTAAGTTGTACCAAGCCGTTAACCTAGTTAGGGTAACAAATTATATTGAGTCAATTTAACCAAATGTATTTAGTACATTGTACTGGTAGATCACTTTAACTATATACATGTTTGTTTTAACCAAATATATAGTTGTAAAATATAAATAAATGCGGTCGTTAAAATAACTAAATGTTTGGTTGAAATTCCGCACGATATAACTGTTAAACAGTCCCTAGTAGGATATCTTCGATACAAACAAGTTTTTTAATTACAGTCCTACGTTAAAAACATTTTTTCAAGGTCAATAAGAAATAAAACGCATTTTGGGTACTTTGGCACCATCTAGTTTTCAAGTTTTTTGTGCTATAGCATCGACCCATTTTATTAGGACCTCCATCTTCAAGGAAGAATTAGAAAAACAGCATAAAATCAAAAAAAAATATTACATTTATCTTTACTTTTTCTATAGTATGTGATTCTGAGGTTATGTTGACAAGTTGTATGTGAAACAAGGAAAGAGATTGGAAGTTTAACGTCCATTCCACACATAATCTTTGGTTGTACATGTTGTATGTTTTTGCGTGAAAAAGAAACTAAAGACGTCGCGACGCGTCGATTTCAATATTAAGATACAATGGTGATTTGTTCTGCTTTTGGTTGCAAAAGTCGTAGTGAAAAGAAAGAGCCCTTAATAACTTTTCACAGGTAAAAAAAACTTTTTTAAATTCTCTCAATGTTTATTTTGAACCTTAAGGTCCCTGCACCAAACAAAAAACTCCCAGTGTCGCCTGGTCCAAAAAAGGTCCAATACATCTAAGGTCTTATTCCCTACTCCAAGAATTACAAACATTATAATGACTAAATAGTTACTAACGCCGTATACATACTTTTGTCCTTAATATTTGACTATTTTATGAAAACTTTTAAAAAACATTTATGAAAGCTGCCAGTGTATTAAATCTCATGCATAACAAAATGCACAGGCCGGAATGAACTTTCCGTACGTTTGATGGATGGGTTCGCGAGCTCATTTTATTCTACATTATCAAGTAAAAATAAATTCGTCCTCGTTTGGAAGTGAAGACGTAAAGTGCGCGTTGCCACCCGGCAAATTGATGAATTGTTATAAGGTTTTCAAACGTGGCAATATTTCCATGTTTCACCTACTACACTGCGTCCTCTTTGTACTGACTTACGGACGTTATTTACTGGCTACACTTGATGGAATTTTCAAAAACCACCTCACCTAACTTGTTATATTCGCCTTCGAGGCGCTAGCAATAAATCCAGCTCATGTAATAATGATAACAACACCAACCAAAATGAACACGTCGTTTTTAAGCTCGTACGAGTTTAATACTAAAACACAACATCCATAAAATAACATTTTCTTACTTAGATACTTTTACCAATTTTCAACTTTTATGGAGTCAATGATTTAGTGAAATTAAAAGCAAATGCAGCGGCGGATTAGCAAAATTGAAAATTTACATTTATTTCGGTGGTTAATATAATTTTTGGGGCGGTAATTAAAGAGATGCAGGCTGGCCTGGTAATGAAGTATACGCGAGCTGGCGGGAGATACTCCGGAGAGCTGCCCGGATTAAGTTCTCTCTCTTGCTGTTGGATTAATAATTCCGGACGGCCGCCGACGCTTTGTTCTAATGATAGTTGTTGGTGTTGTGTAATATTCGGGGATATATACACCGCTATGCATTTACAGATTTAATGGTTACACAGTTATGTCTACTTATGCATATCATAGCACCGCATAGGTGGATGTAAATGATCTAATAAATTTAAACTTAATTTTTTGCTACATAATCATGGTGAATTTATAAATGGGTTACCCGAGCTTATTTAATTATTAAAGGGAGATGAGAGTTATAACTCAAGTATAAAAAAACGTGACAAATTGGTGTGTTATGTAAGGAAAACAAATATACAGTCCCCTGCACAGCAAATGTAAGTATTTGCTTTTGTGCATCACGAACACCCCTTAAGTGTTGTAAGATTTATGTTATGAACCATCCCCCAATTTTTGATCACCAAATTCTTGAGCGAAGCACTGAAATAAGGGATTTGGGTGTTCCTTCTCTAAACATGTAAATAACAAATGCGCCTCTGCTCTTTGCATTCGGGGTTTCATATTTCACTT